AGTTTAAAATGATTGGATCGGTTGGCCATGACGTATGTTGCTGTGAAAGAGGCTAGGCTAAGAAGCTAGCATGAAATTGCGTGTGCTGTAGTGCAGTGGTTCCCAAACTTTTCAGCTTTTGACCCACAAAATAACAGTAGCAGAGACCTGTGCCCCCAGCTATTTTTGGATGATAAACATTTGTATCAGGTCAACTAAACATGAGCACAGTAACAATATTTTTATACTAAATTTATCCTTTTTAAATACACTAACCTCAGTCCTTTGTAACAAGTAAGGAAAAAACATAATTCTGAAAATCTTTTCAGGACCCCATCTTGATGTTTCGGGACCCCACTTTGGGTCCCGACCCCAACTTTGGGAAACACTGCTTTACACTGTAAATAATAGGAAGTAAAAAGAAACCAAGTAAAAGAAAAATAAATTTAAATAAATACAAACAGGAGAGAATAATGTAGTTGCTTTTATTTTTAAAACAAATAAACCTCACACCATCACATTTTCATTTACAGATAAGCATTTACGTTCTACTAAACAGCATTTTCTTTTTAACTACAAAGACAAAAACTCATCGGAAACAAACAGAAACAATTGGTCAAACATGGTACTGATCAGAAAACCCAGACAAAAAGCCAATTCGCCAACCATCTCTAGTGGTGTCTGTTTGTGGTTTAATTTAGTTCATCATTGCTTCAGTTCTCTAATACAGCAAATATTCTTACTGAAACCTTTTAGATCTGCCATCAAACAAACCTACCTCAAAAATGCAACCTAAAATAAAAAAAGAATACATCAGTTTTCAACAACTTAAAACAAAAAGTTTCAGAGATTTGTAACTACAAAAATATTACTGAAACATTTAACCACCTTAACAAGCCTTTCATGTTTTAATTCTGGTTAATTAGTAAAAAATAACCAATCAGGAATTTTTTACCACTGATTGTATTTGATGCCCATTTTTTACATGTGCATCAGTAACTGGAAAATGATCAAACAAGCCAATTAAAGTGACATAATAAGACTATTTGACAAGACGCTCTTGCTCATGGTCCAATTTAAAATTTCTGGAAACCCTCTCAAGACCCAAACTTCACAATTTATGACCCACCGTGGTGTTTGACACTTAACTTTGGGATCCACTTTAGATTACCTCAAGGGTCCAAGAAATAAGAGTTATGACAAAAATGACTTTTTGTAACTCATTTTCTTTTACTTTCTTATTTTAACAAATATAAATAGAAAATAAAGCTTTAAATTAAGGATTTCACTGCATAAAACTAAAGCCTCTCTACACATAATCACCACAAATGATGTCGATGTGAGAAAAGGTGAAACTAAATGTTTGAAAACTGTGCAGTTCTCATGACTGGAGGTACTAAACCAGCTGAACCACGTCAGACACCACTGGAGAACTCAAAACCTGAACAAGGACTTCTACTTACCAAGTTAGTAGATGCCATGCCAGACAGGACAAGAGTGTACTTTTTATTTTTACACTCCGTCGTTCTATTTGCCATTTCTGATAGATCAAATACTCAGAACACTATAGAATACAGTACATGGTACATGTCCCAGCATCCATCTGTAAGGGGACAGACCCAAACTATATTGAACATCAGGTACTTACAGGATTTAACTGACCTGTCATGCCAGCTGACTGGGTTTTAAGGCTGAAAAGCTCATATGGATGGGCTACAGACAAAAACAAATACAAAGCGGTAAGTGAATTGGCCAGAGGAAAATGTCTGCAACACTACAGATAACATGTGCTTCCTGTGTGAACCGCTAACGCCAACGTGTTCTAGTCTTTAACTCTTTAACAGATTAGATTGCTTTTAGCAGAACAATCTCCACCACAGGAAGGTAATGTTGAAGACTTAGTGGATAATTACAAAAGATGGACAAAACGTATCACCCAACAATAAAGACAGGAACTGCAGCAATTAATGCTGGTAATTAACATTCAGAAGCCGACCCTCACCACAGCAAATCCTTACTAAAGATTTGTGCTGGGAAGATATTTCAAAACCACCTTCAAGGGGTGCCTTTACTACAAGTTACTTATGGACCAGCCTTTGAAATAAAAGGTTTTTAGCTAAACATTGATTTAACTTTATATTTGATTATAAAACAGCTGCACAAGATTAAACAAAGACCTTCTGTATTGTTGGGCGTTTTGGTTTTGACACTGGTGTTCATGCATGTTTGAGGGCAAGAATGCATGTGTACAAAAATAAAATTTAAAAAAAATTWTTGTGGTCCATTTCTACTAAAGCTACTCAAACGTAACATGAAAGTCCTTCAATCATGAGTTAGATGTCATATTTCAAACCTAAAGTTAACCTAAATCTTTTGAGTTAGGTGCACGAGTTTGGTGAATGACATCTTTACCACATGTTAAAACAGTTTTATCATGACGATGACAGGTGGGTGAGGAAATAAGACACAAACAATGACAACCTTTGTATTTAAATACCTGATGAAATCCTGTCAGAGGCATAAAAAGTGTAGACACCAGTACAAACCTTTGCGACTCACCTCCACGTACGTCAGGACAAACCAGCATTAGATTTCAAGATGGATTTTATTACAACAGATTGATAAAACATTACAAAGGATGCATACAAGTAGGTGTTTGACCACGAAATATTAAAACAAACCTGAAAAAAGGAATAAAGCTAGAAACTTATGAGACAAATTTAAACACTACTCAGTTGGAATCATCATCACTGAGACCCTCACCAACCAAAGTTGGGGACGAAATGTCCAACAGCACCTGCGCGCGCTGTGAGGGCCTCAATCTCTCTAACAAAGAAATAAAAATAATCAAATGTTCACAAGAAAAAAAAACTTGCCTTTGTAAGGGGTTGGCATGTTCATGTAACTCCAGCGGCTTCAAAAGAAATACGAATCATTTTTACACACTTCACCTCTATGAACCTGAGTGGGAAAAAAATATATCCTCACATGTGATCAAGGAACACCAAAAAGCTGTTAGGTATTAATGTGGTGTTTGGCCATTTTGTTTTTCTCTTTCCAATAAACATGTTACAATGAATGTCCATGCGTTTTAAACAGACAATGTTTGTCTTCACCACCACTGGTCTTACTGCTCTTTGCTTGCAGCTAGGTTTGAAAAAGCACATGGGTGAGAGAAAGGTGTTAACCTCAAACCTAATGTGGTGGCTGCTTTGCTTCTTTAGTAGCGTCCAGCCGGAGACATGACGGGCGGCCTCATACCCAACGGAGGTCCTCCCTGGTAAGGGGGAACCATGGGAGGTCCTTGCCCATAGGGAGGCATCCCTCCAGGCATGTAGCCGGGCATGCCCTGAGGGGGGCCGCCATACTGACCTGTGCAGGACAGAGAAGGAGAGTGGCTGCTTTAAGTCTCATTAATTTGCCAACTGAAGCCACTTATGGTCCACCCTACAGTGAGTGTACTTTCAAAGTTTCAGATAKTTTAAATTAGGCAAACTATAGATCATCAACAGCACTTTAGCRTATTTGTCTACTTTGTATAAGCAGGGTTCCCACACCWTGGTCAACATCAAATTCAAGGACCTTTCAAGGACTTTCCAGTACCAATGTGAGAGATGTGAACATGTCCAGAYGYTYGGTGAGGACAGGAGAAGCTGTGGTGCTTTCACCTGGGCTCAGAAAGACCGACCCGCCCTACTCTGCTCTGATAGGCTAAAACTATGACCATGGCTCACGTTATTTGTTAAAAGCCACGTCAGCTTAACGTAATCCTGAATTATCCACCGCAACAAATGTACGCTTGTTTGTTTTTTTCTACAGATGATGAAAATCAGTTGTGTGAATAGAGAACTTCAATCCCCCCAAAAAACATTCAAGGACTTTCAAGGAAAAGTAAAATTTTTGGCTGTTTTCACAAACTTTCCAGGGCCTTAAAATAATTGTCTTTCAAATTCACAAACTTTCAAGGATTTCAAGGACCCGTGGGAACCCTGTATAAGAACAATTCCATAAAATATATTTTATATTTGAGCCAATATCATGCAACTGACAGATCGCAGTACAATAAGTCATAATAAAAAACTTTCCACCTCACAAATAATTATTTTGCATTTAATACTTTCAGAAAAATCTTGTCAATTTTTTAGAAAAAGTTGAAGAGAAAACAGTGCCTACCATGCAGGGGATGCCTCATGCCAGGCTGCTGTGGTGGCAGGCCTTGCTGTGGGGGAATTATGCTCCCCACAGCTGCCACTTGGGGAGCAGCAGCATGGGCCTGACCGGACCTGGGTATGAGACGCTGGTAACGAGGYAACTGGGACTTCATCTCCTCCTGGTTGCAGAGACAACACACAAGGCAAACATTCAGAGCTACAGAAACGCCGGTGTCCTCCTGTCAGTACAGAGAAACACTCACAAAACACGTTGAGGCATTGGGTACCAATGTTGGCGTGCCCTGATTTCAGACTGAGGATATTCAAGTTCAGAATCATCCTTCAACATAACCACAAAACAGAAACTACTCAGCGCTATCATGACTATACAACGTGACTGTTTTTGTATTGTAACTTTATATCCGATGATCCTCTGCGATCATCTAACCTCACTCTGATCGAGTCTTTTTGCAGAACCGGACCACTGGTTAAATGCAGCCTACTGTCAAATATCACCGAGCATACTATATAAATCAGTTATTACTTACTGTGAAAAGGGCAAAACAGAAAGCTCAAGCAACTTACCAGTGAGATGTCCTCATCAGGGTGGATCAACTTACTAGTTGCACTCGAAGTGGTGAGGGTGGCAGGCTTACTGGTCACTGTGGCGGGGGGTTTGGCCACAGTGCTGCTAGAGGGATTAGAAGAAGTGGAAGAGGAAGAGGAGACAGAGGGCTGGGTGTAGGCAGGGAATGTTGCTTTGGGAGGGTCAGAGGAGGCGGCAGAGCTGAGTGAACTTGAAGCTGTAGCTCCTGAAGCGCTCTGTTGGGCCTGTGCAAAAACACACAACAGGTCGCTAAACCCGACTGAACTGGTTCTTCACAACCCTAACATGCAAGAATAAAGAAATGTAATACAAACAAATAAGCATTGACATATATACCTTAGTACCAACCATCATAAGCAACAAATTTATTTGATTTTTGGTCTGTTTCTTTAAAAATAATCAACTTCACAAAATGTTAGCAAATTGTTACTGAATTTAAAATACTGGAATATAATTTTATAAGGACAAACACACACACAAAAAAAGTTTTTAAAAAGAATGAAAATTCAGTTTAAGGGACTGATTCAACAAAACAGCAAATTCTGATTGAAATAAGGTCAGATTCTTATGTTCATTATAGAAAAATTATAAGTAACTTCAGTGGTTTACACTTTAACATGGGGGAAATAATTGTGCGTCATTTCAAAGCAAAACAACTACTTTGCAATTCACCCTGCAGAAGTTAGGAGTGAAAGCCCACTTCTCTTATGCCTTAATTCTGTGTTAATTTAAAGCACATGCAGCTATAAAGCTCACAGTTCTTACTGGTAAATACAATTAGCAGATCAATGCAAATGCTGTTAGTAAAACAGCATAAAGTGTCACTAAAACTTTACAGGCAACATGAATATGCAACATGCAGCTGCCACAGTCCACGGCAAAGTGCTGTCTGTGAGCGTACTTGGGGCATGTTAGAAAGGGGAGTCTGGGAGGAGGCAGACTGAAGGTCTGCAGGCGGAGAAGAAACGCCTGTTGTGTTGCTGTGAACACCAGAGCCCATCTGCAGCATGGTGAAAAGGAGATCACAGGATTGGCATGGAATAGGTCTACAGAAACTATCCCAACTCAATCAATTAAACTGTGGAGTGATTTCAAAAAATAAAAAAACTGTTAGATGAGCAAATCACTTTCTTATACATCTATAAACCTACAGAGGCTGTAGTTAATCAAGTGGAGGACATTAAAGTACAGACAGAAACTTTTTAAAGCGGACTGCATGAGGCCAACCTGTGCTGCGCTGGGGAAGAGGGGTTTGGTGACAGAGGGCTGAGCTGCCGGCACTGCTGGTCGGCTGGGTATTGGTCCCGCTGCGGGGGCTGGAGCAATGTGGGGCATCCCTGGTCTTGGAGCCATGTGAGGGGGCATTCCTGCAAAAGCATCCAGTAAAGTTTGTCTATCAATACAAAAAACACAACAACCTGAGGAGGACCCTTTATTTAACTCGTTATTCTTAATGTGTTGGACTAAAATCTGCATTAACCAAAACTTGAAGATTTTTTTTTAGATTTTTAAAAATAAAAGAAAAAAGGTTAAAGTTTAAGAAATTTGAAACAACACACCTTTGGACACTAATAATAAACAACGCTGCACACTATTGGACCCACCACCATAAAGTAAATGGTAAGGATTATCATTAATGAATACACTATTTTTGTGAACTTTATTGAGGCAAAAATGTTGTTTTTTTATTTAATAAATCGCTTCCAAAAATGCAACCACAACTGACCTGGAGGAATACCGGGCATCCCTGGCATCATGGGAGGCATCATCCCTCCTATTGGCATCATGCTAAAAGAAAAAGAGAGAGAACAATGATTGATTTTACTGGTTCKTTTATCAAAATTACAGATCAACTGACCATTTCATAAATCTTAAGGAAGACTAAACAAGACATGTCAGAATTTCAGAAAGTTCAAGTCAGTGAGTTGATTCTTACGCTGGTGGCATCCCAGGCATTGCAGGAGGCATGCCGTGCATCATGGGAGGAACACCAGGCATCATAGGAGGCATTCCTGTAGCAAAGAGCAAATGTTTTCTGTTAAAATAGTTCCATTCACACACAACTACACCTGTTCACACAATGATGACTGCTTCTATTTTTAAACTTCACGTGTTTTCAGCACAACAGACATGCTGATTGACCAAGGTAAGGAGGTGAATGATTTTAATGAGACTGGAAAGCTCAGACTAAACCTGAAGTCACCTCGCTAAGGCAGTAAGAGCACACACCACAGGTTTTACTGATATCTTGTGTAAAGGCACTTTTATCAGATATTTTTTAACACTGACACAAGCCTGCTTAACAACATTTGCTTTATTTTTTGTAACCGTTCATTCCCATGAATAACTTTCTTGCCTTGATATCCTGCAGGAGGCATCCCAGGTGCACCAGCCACATGAGGAATCCCAGGTTGGGTCATTGGTGTGACATAGCCCACCTGAGGCTGGATGGCAGCAACCTGCTGGGTCGATGGTCCTGCTTCATCGTCGTCGTCGTCATCATCCGAGTCATCCTGATTTTTCTTTTTTTGGCTCTCTAAAAAAGAAAAAAAATGATTTATTAGACAAGCAAAACTATCACACTGACTCCGTAAAGAGCAGTAAAAGAATTTACTTCAATGTAAACAAGGACAAAATACCTTGTGACTTCTGTTCTAATGTTCGTCTCCTTTCCTGCATGTCTTTCTCTGGAATTCCCTCCATGCCATAAATTTCCAGTTCTATGTCTGTCCTTCCTGGAATTGCATTTGGTACGCTGTCAATAGTCTCTTTGTGCACCTATAACACAAAAGGGAAACATTACAGTCCATTACGACAAGCCATTGCACTAGCAGGATATTTAAAGCCATTGCACTAGCAGGATAAAGGTCCGTACCTGCATGCAGTGAATAGCCAAACCGGGCCCAGTGTATAATTTCTTGTGGCAAATGTGACATTTAAAATGCTTTGCCTTCTGATGCTGAATGAGGATTTTTTCATCATCAAAGTCTCGATTGCAGTACCTTCAGAAGACAGTTAAGGACTTATCTGTAATGTGTTCATCAATTTGTTAATTTAGCCCATACAAACCAGCTCAAGAGTTCATTTAGTTCCTCAGATTACATAATGGTGTAAACTACCGGTGGCTAACAGATTAGCTAACACCAGATGTAACATCTTTCCTTTAAAACACATCGACACACTGAACAAACAATTCACTATTATTTAAACACTCGACAACGAACATCGCGTCTATATCAAATATAATAAAAACAAACTTAAGCCATTTATGAAATCCAAACCCGCTCTTTAAGCTAACATTAGCTGCTAATAGACGCACGAAGCCGAGTAGGCCTCATTTTGTGAAGTTCTTCTTTTGTCGGTATTTTCAGTCGTTTTAAAAAAGGATACCAGCACCATGGTTTCATCTGCTTCTTCTTCTTTCGTCCCATTGTGTGTAAATACTGAAACAGAGGTCACAGAACGCTAAATCTTAGTCTTATTATCTGTTTGACATCGGCATGCCGTACCTCCGCGACAAGAAGGGCGAAAATGGCGCCTGCTGGGCGGAAGTACAATTATCCACCGCAGTCACACAGACACGCCCCTAATAATGCTTTATTAGATTTTATTCCGTTCCCTCTAACAAACATCCCTTTATTTTTGAACAAATGGCATGCACACATGATAAACAACTAATTAAACAGTCAATTCAAATGTGATCTAAAAAATACAGCTATATTTTTTTCCCTAAATTCTGGCTTTAATCTCTTAATTATGAGGGAAAAAAATCAGAAATCTGAGATCCCAGTATTCTAAGATAAAGTCAGAAGCATGACTCTTTCTTTTTCTCTCAGAACTCTTAGATTAAATTCAAATTTCTGTGGAAGCCCATTTCCGCCACCCTGATAAAAAAAATAAATAAAACTTGTATTTCATAATTATGACTTAGCTATCTCATAACTATGACTTAGTTATCTCATAATTATGACTTAACTATCTCATAATTATGACTTAACTATCTCATAATTATGACTTAGCTATCTCATAATTATGACTTAACTATCTCATAATTATGACTTAACTATCTCATAATTATGACTTAACTATCTCATAATTATGAGATACTATCTCATAATCATGAGATAGCTAAATCATAATTATGAGATAAAAGTTTTATTTTTTATCAGGGTGGCGGAATTGGGCTTCCAAAAAATTCTGACTTTAATCTAAGAGGCCTGAGAAAAAAGTCAGAACTCAGGAAAACATGTTTTTCACTCTGTGGCCCTAATCCTCTTCCATAAATATAGTTTTAACTGGAGCAATATTAAAAAATAGCATAATCTATAATATATCATAACGTTGATTTGAAAAATAATACACATTTTTCTATAACAAATATAATCTATTTGTTAATTAATATTTTACTTTCATATGATGAAGATTTTAGACTGAAAAACACTGAAAATGGCTAAATTTCTGCGTGCACATGAAAAATGTTCCTTTAAAATCATTTCTTTTGATTCTGGAAGTGATGTAAAAGTTGCCTGAGGAAAAAAAATCAGTCTTAGCTTTCTTCAAAATAACCAGTTAGATCGCTGCTGAATTAGATTACTCTTTTACAATTTTACACATTACATATTTATTTTGAGTTCTTTTCCAATTTGTTTTGATATTGTGAAGTTGAGGTGTCAGTTTGTAATTTCCTCCACTTGATGGTGACATTGTTGCAGAAAAATGCCACAGTTTCATGTCCCAGTAGGAGAGTGGTCAGAGCAGCATGATAGTGTGTGATTTAAAAATAAGATTAAACTTTTATTTATTTTTAAGGCTGATGGATACTGGAGTTGCTCTTGGCCACAGCAGTATTGCTGAAACTTTAAAAAAACACTCATTCTTTGCCTAAATGTTTGGTGTTAAAAGAGTCCAGTGCAGTGAAAAGACGAATATGTACTTATAAGCTTTAGTTGGTTTGCAAAACCAGATTATCCCAAAGTATAAAGAAATGTTTTTGAACATAAGTTTTATTGCATTTTCCATTGTTTCTTTTAAAGAACACTGCTTGTGTTGGAAAAAAAAACACTTTTATTTGAAGATACGTAAAAAGCACATTAAAAACAATTGATATTTTATCAGTAATCACATCAGTATGGATGGATGGATGGATGGATGGATGGATGGATGGATGGATGGATGGATGGATGGATGGATGTCAGTAATCACTTGTGCATTTTATCCACATGCCACATTATAATTTTGAAAATACATCAAAATAAAAGAATTTCCAACAGTAAAATAAAATAAAATGCAACAACTTAATAGTTTCTGTAAATAAAACTGTTTTAATGAACCTCTTTATGTACATAGCAAATCTACAAAATACACACAACCTTAAAATGCTCTAAGTAATTTGTACCCCTCACACAGTTTGGTGTCGTAGCCCTTATCTACAATCCCAGGTTGTCTTTAATTAAATAGGACACATACACGATTGCTAACAAATCACAAGGGCAAACATTTTACACAATATCACCATGTTAAAAAAATAATAAAGGCGTGTTAAAATATTAATCTCTACATCATTATAAGTGACGTGGTCATCTGGGGAACATCTTTTGGATTTATAGCTCAGAGGTGGCACCGCATTCAGTCTCAGTTCAAATCAATTAACAAATTAACTTCTGAAGGGAACTAATGAGAGATTATTGATTTATGACTTCACCCAGATTCCACGCTCAAATTCAGGTCAATCACGATGTTTGTAACAAGATTTAGCATGACCTGGTAAGTACATTTCACTTCACTTTTTTTTAGGTTTTTTATTTTTATGTTTTTTTTTAAACAAYCYCCACACTTGTCAGGGGTTGTGCTTCTCCTTTTGGTGCTTGTAACAATGTTTTGGCATTTAAAAGTTTTAAGTCTGAATAGCACTTTTGCTGCTTTCTTTTAAACCTGTACACACAACAGATTTTTATTTTCATGCACACACACACAGACACACACATTTGTATTTCTATCCATACTAGGGCTGCCACGATTAGTCGACGACTAATCGATTATTAAAATAATCGATGACTAATCTAATAATCGATTAATCGTTTTCTTTTTTTGTTGTTGTTCTTTACTTTGTTTTTCTCTCCAAACTGCTTTGACACCTTCCACTGCCACATCTGCCTTTCTGTCCTTGACACACATGCACAGTAGTGGTAACTGGGGTAGGCCGTGGACGTCACAAGACATTATACAGACAGGCTCTGGTATCATGGCTACCTGACAACAGAGCTCAAAGTGTGGGATCATTTTAAGAAAATGAAAGAGAAACCTGTGTAATATCTGCAGAGCAGAACTTGCCTTCCACAGCAATTATTTTTAGTTAGCATATAGCTAAAATCTAACCATGGTTATATAATAACAGCTGCATTCTGGTGTGATAAGCTCTATGTTTTATATTCAATTAACATATGATCCGATTAGTCGACTAATCGAAAAAATAATCGGTGATTAATCGATTATAAAAATAATCGTTTGTGGCAGCCCTAATCCATACTAAGATTGTTATGACTTCCATTAATTTCTGACCCTTACCAGTACATGCCTAACCCTAACACCCCCTCAGTTCCCACGTTAGCCCTAAACCTAACCCCAAAAGGGCGTTCCACCATCTTAGGGGCAGGCTTTGGTCCCCATGAGGATTACTGGTCCTGACAAGTTGTTTATACCAGAAAAGGTCCCAAAAAGGTAACAAAAAGCAGGTACACAAACACACACATTAGACAAAAGACTGAGGTTCAAATAGTGCTGAATACATACACAATCCTGATTCTGAAGGCAACACTGAACAGTAAGCCACATTTTGTTTTCAAATGTAAATTCATTCAAAATAACATCTTTACAGGAACTGTATTAATAATCTGTTTTATTGAAAGGTTGACTGTTCTTCTGCGTAACCAAACCTCTTATACTTGTGAGCTGCTTGTGCTGATTGCAAAATACAAACCTTTTTTTTTTTTTCATTTGGAGATAGAAGGATTTTCAAAAACTATTCTGATCCAGAAACTGGTCCAACACTGGAGGGTGATAGGGCTACATTACCCTTCAGTGTTAGGCCAAGAGGCAGATGTGCAGAAATATTTGTGGTTAGCGATGTCCTCATGAAAAGGCACCGTTGGATTGAGGAGAAACAGGCAGAAGAGGTAAGCTTTGCGTTTGTGTAAGATCCGAGGCTTCGTATTCGCTGATGGTGCTTTGTTCAAACCCAGCGGACACGGAAACGAGGAGCAGGTGGTAGAGTTGCTTAAATGGTAAGGCTCGAGTGAAAGAAGTAGGAGCGCGACGGCTGTCACCAACAGATGAGGCTCAAAATGGTGAGACTGAGGTGACGCAACCAACCGTGCCCATCAGTGAGGGATACAGTGTTTTTGTCTGCCTCTTAAGAGCAACTCATGGTGCCGGGGGTACTCGCACATCAAGCAGGCTGTAGGCAAAAATGTTCCAGAACACAGCGCAGAGCACAAACAGGGTGTAGACACAGAAAAATATCCAGAACAGGGACTGCTCCTGGAGTCGCTGCTCATAGTTCTGCAGAACCACCACACCCAGAGTCAGGCCGACGGCCACGCCCCCCAGGTGAGCCACAAAGCTGGGGTTGGGGCATGGAGGGAAGGCTGGAGGGTAGAAGCGCAGCCACACTGCACGGCCAAACTCTACACTCACTAGAAGCAAAAAGACAAGAAATTACTAAATGTTATTGCTTAAATATTTATTGAAGATCTTATAGACTAACTTAAAGAAAGTTTTTAGTATAGAGCGTCATGAGCTAACAACTTTATTTGGTGTATATCAGGTCAAACTGTATTTGAATAATAGAAAACCGAGAATTCACACGTATGCTGACAATATGAGTTCAACCAATACTATGTGAATGTTGGCCCAAGTCTTACATCTAAGAAATACTAAGTATTGTAAAAAAATACTGCAGATAAAAGATCAAATTTATCATTTTCAACAGGAATATTTCCAGATAATATGAAAATAGCTAAGGCAATCCCTCTCTATAAGAATGGTGAGAAATGTGTGTTCAATAATTACAGACCAATATCCTTGTTGCCACAGTCCTCAAAAATTTGAGAAATTATTTGTGACCAGATTAGATCAATGTATCGATCAACAAAATATTTTAAGTAGCAGTCAATATGGGTTTAGAGCAAATAATTCTACATCAATGGCTTGTAAGAAAATTAGTGTTCTTTTACTGAAATCATGTCAGAGTTCAGATCTTACATCATTTATTTGAACAAACTGTTTCCTATTTTTCAAATAGCTAATCCTCTAATGCCATATTAATTCAGCTGGTGTAGGAGAATACTGTGGTCAATAATGTCAAATATTTTTCTTTAAATCAACATAAATGCTAAGTAAACCATTTAATTATCTCACTGATGTTCCTGAAAGTCATGATTCTCTCCTTTTTCAATTACGGACTGACTGGTTGGACAGAAAAGGGACAAGCTTTGCTGCAATCAGTAGAGGGACAACATAATGAAGTATTTTTCCCCCCATAGAAACTAAAGGTAGACCAGTCATTCTGTGTTTGTCCTGTTCTCTATAGGCTGCTCATCCTGAGGATGGTTCTGCTGAAGGTTTCTTCCTGTTAAAACAGAGTTGTTTTTTTCCACTGTTGCCAGTGTGCTGCTCAGGTTGGAAGACTGATTTTAAGTGAAAAAGCACAAACGTCTGGCTTCCTTAGACTTTTACTAATTGGTATTTTACAATGTATGTAAATATGTACAGTGCCCTATGACCTTGATTGTGTATTAGTGCTGTAAAAAACAAACTGAACTGAACTGAATGTAGTCTGACACATTTGGGCTTTTTATTATTCAAGTCTTGATTGCTGTAATAATTTCAGCTCTAAAAATATTAACCTTGAAAAATTATGGTTTCCTGTGTTTTAAGCAGGAGCGATAGAAGGCAAAGTCAAGAGTCCTTGTTTTATGCATAAAAACATCGTTATAATCGCTTTACGTGAAAATCATGAAAGGTTTCAGTATTTCAGTTTATGAACACCAGCTGGGACTCCTCCAGGTCTTCTCAATAAAAAAGTCGCTGAGCTGCAGCAGAGTGGCAGCCACACAAAGGAGGACTTCAAACTAAATGACTGATTCATCCAGATTTAATGAATGTTTTGTGCTTTTGAATTGCTGGGTGGATTTTCATCATGTCTGGCCTGTAAAAAGGGCTTTGTTATAAAACACCCACAAAAAGAAAGATGTACATTGTTCAGCTGCATGTGCCTTTAAATTTGCCTATTATTTTTGAATTTTGAGCTTAGAAAATAGACTGAAAGGGCATTAAAATAGATGCATTTATGTTTTTTTKKTWWWAWWAAAACAATAATATAAGGTTATTTTCTTACCAGAAACCTGCAAAAAATAGAAAAAAAAGTCCAGCTTTGCTAAAAAAAAATAACAACAAATCAAAGGTGACATGACAAAGTGGAAAATGTAWCCAAAACTTACTGCAAACCAGCGCCATGGCCATTCGGAATAACTTAAACTGGCACTTCATTCCCGACCAGTTCTACAAGAAAAGATGGAAGAAAAAAAAGAGTTTAATACTGGGAGGAGGAACAGAGTCCATTAGATCTCCTTCAGAAAYACACACATCATACACACACATGCTGACATGAAGAGACATTGTGCCCTGCATCTCAATTCAGGTCAATTTTAAAACCCACCCGAGGCTTYCTGACCCTTCTGTCGTCTTACTCTTATAGATAATGTGATTCCAGCGGGGAGAAAGAAGACAAATTCCTCCTTTCTGACCTCCAGAATGTTGTTAGGATAAATAATGGGGACAAAAACGGTATCTGATGACCCCTACAGGAGGGGTTTAGGGGTTACACCAAAGACAGGAGAGAGCTTTGATGGGATTTTCTGCCCACTCTTGTCACATAAAGACGTGTGCACACCTGCACAGGTTTCTGATCTCTGTGGAACAATGAGAAGCCGATGAAGTGAAGAATGTTTGGTATTTGAAGGTAGWGCAGCACCTGCTGGGGCTGCTGTGGTGACGGGACAGCCGAAAGATAAAGGTCATCGACAAACACAACAGAACTCACCATTACTACGTTAGCCAGATGTGCTGAAACCAGAGCGTACACCCCTCCAGACGATCCGACCACCGGAGCCGTCATATCTGTGACTGAAACTGCCAAGGACCCTGAATTGATAAAAGACACCTCTGGTTTGTCAACTGCATTTTGATCCAAAAGAACTCAAAACAATACTCCTTTATAAAGATGCTGCTTAAGCAAGTACAAAATAAATTGTCCTACTTCGAATTAAAGCCTAAAAACATGTTTTAAAGTGATAATTTTGACTTTTTGGAGCGGAAAAGTTTTTAAAAGTTACTATCTTACCTGTTGTACATAAAGGTCTTTGAGCAAGCTCAGACAGAAACAACCAATAAGAACAGCCCATTATCAGCAGGCCTCAGGACCCCTGAAGAGTTCAGATTCAAGCTTTAATTATCGTCTCCACTCTGTGGCTTTGTGTGTGCACACAGAGAAGCTGCTCTTTTATTTTGTATGTATCAAAGGCATATTTTGAGATTTTGCTTGTTATTGATCGTGGTTTGGTGTGAGGGTGTGTGTTGGGTGTAGAAGGTTGGAGACCTTTCTCTAAATTATTGATTTCTGACCTCTGCTTTGACCCGTGTGGGTGGCAGCTGAGCCCCCTTTCCAAACTGTGGCGAGATTAACTCAGTTTTGTTTGATGAAGCAAAAGATTGCTGCATCAACTTAAGATGCATTTTTTGGTTTTTCAGCACTCAAAGAATTTTATTATATAAACCATAAACACATACAAATTTTTAATGAATTTTATAAATCTACCTGTGCACATTTATAAAATAAACTGGGTTTTTGTAACAATTTAACCTGTGCTCATTTTTACAAGTCTCTAATCCATATTMTTTCTAGTTTTAAACAGCTGTGCATCAAAAACCATTAACTTTAATAAAAAGAGTTATAAATATAAAGATCCTCCTCATTAACATAAGCAGCCTCATCTGCAGTTAATGTGTCAGAAATAAAASTGAGTGATTTCTGAAGCCTGTTTCTTTAATCCAGTTTCCTTTTGATGTGTATTGAGATGAATCAGGAAACAGACATTTGTCTTTTTTAATATGACAAACAATTCTCAATGGTAAAGACCAAACTTATTAAATTTTAAATAAATTAAATTTAAGAGAATCATAACTCACAGCGTAGTAAATGTGACATCTACAACTCAATAATAAGCAAATGTCTGTTTGTTGCTAAAGAGCTTATTTGTCTTCAATTAAAAATAAAAACAGTAAGATTTTAACCCAACGTTGCAGCCAACACAACCAGAGCGAACATCCCATTTTCTACTGGTGGTCGATATCTCATTAAAACACCAGATGTGCGTGTGCGTGCGTGCGTGTGTGTGTGTGTGTTTTGTTGATGAGGGTGTTTGATTAATTTCCTCCTGGTTTCACAGTGAGGTTAAAACAATAGGTCACCTCAGCTGGTAGCCCAGAGGGGCTTTGTCAGTGACCCCACTCTCTCACACACACACAC